TGAAAGGATTTTCTGTTGGTCTATACTCAATTGATGTAGTTACTTGCTATTTGTGTTGGTTTTTATTGGTTCTTTACATGACTGGTGATAGTCCGATTGTTCTTGTGTTAGGTGTTGAAATTATTATAGCCACGCCAGGAAGACTAATTGATATGATGGAATCACATCACACAAATTTGCGGAGGGTCACATACCTTGTTTTAGACGAGGCAGATCGAATGCTAGACATGGGTTTTGAACCTCAGATTAAGAAAATTGTTTCTCAGGTACACCTCTTCCCTTTCCCACAACACAATTTATTGCATTATAGGGTAAATCCTGAATGTACGTGAAAATCAATGTTCTGATCTTCTCCATTTGATATGTGCCTTCTTGACTTGCACATTGTCATTTTTGCTATAAATTGAGTTATTATGATGAGGTTGTCAAATCATTTATCCACCATATAGTTATTATCCATTACCCATCAAAATTAGTATTGGCTTTACTGAAACTCGGCAAGTCTAAAAAATGATGTCAAAAGATTATATCTTGCTTCAGATTCGTCCAGATCGACAAACACTTTATTGGAGTGCTACCTGGCCAAAGGAAGTTGAGCTCCTAGCAAGGACTTTCCTTTTTGATCCATACAAGGTGAACATTGTGCCCACAGTTCGTTGTGCTAGCGGATTTCTTACATACTACTAGTATGAAAATTTATGTGTTGCATTTCAGCAAATTTTAATTTGGCGTGATGCAGGTTATAATTGGTTCTGAAGAACTGAAAGCTAATCATGCTATTTGTCAGCATGTAGAGATATTATCTGAGAGTCAGAAGTATAACAAGTAGGATTCTGTTTCATTTTCAATTACATAATATGTACTCAAAATGCTAATACAGCGCCTTAATACTGAACCATTGTGACATAAAGGTTGGTCAATCTACTGGAGGATATAATGGATGGCAGCCGAATTTTAGTATTCATGGACACCAAGAAAGGATGCGATCAGATCACCCGACAGCTTCGAATGGATGGTTGGCCTGCTCTGTCTATCCATGGTGACAAGAGCCAAGCTGAAAGAGATTGGGTTCTTTCTGAATTCAAGTCAGGGAAAAGCCCTATTATGACAGCTACTGATGTTGCTGCTCGAGGCTTAGGTATACAGAAATTCCCTCAGAAACAATAAGTTATAAATTAGGTAACACAGGTAGATTAATATGTATTCTGTATATCTTGAAAACAGATGTTAAGGATGTCAAGTATGTCATTAACTATGACTTTCCGGGGTCTCTGGAGGATTATGTCCATCGCATTGGTCGAACTGGCAGAGCTGGAGCAACAGGGACAGCCTACAGCTTTTTCACGGCTGCTAACGCCAGATTTGCCAAGGATCTTATTAGCATTTTAGTTGAAGCTGGACAAAAGGTCAGCCCTGAATTGGCTAATATGGGCCGTGGTGCACCACCTCCTTCTTTGGGTAAGTTTTCTGTTGGATTACTTTTTTTCAAGATATACAGATCTGCTGATTCTTTGTTCTGCACCCATTATTTTGTTTACCCCTAGACATTGTTGAAAGCCATCTTGTTGAGTTGGGTCTGATTATTATTGCATTTTGCAGGTTATCGTGATAGATACAGAGGGCATGGAGGTGGTCGTTCATGGAGCTGACATTAAAATATTCAGCTGTTGCAAAGAGCGATATTTGACATTTCTTTGTGGATGATCATGTATTTCTGGCTCACTGGATCTTTTGGCTAGTGTCCGGTAAAGGTGGATTTATTTACTTTGGATACCATGCTGTGTTGACTGAAACTTTTTCACCCATTCTGTCTAATAGCTAGAAATGTGTCACAATCATGCAGTTTCAGTAGAAAATAGTTCAGTTGTCAGTTTTGCTGAGTGACAGCGAAACTCATATTTTGGTCCCATCAGTGTCAATACATGACGTAATTTATTTCCATAATACCATATTCACCTACGTTGGGTCCGTAATACTGAATATCAATGCATCATTAGTTTTGCGCAGTTCCTCTTCTGTTTGTTTTCCTCTTGTCACTGATGAGAAATAACTGTTGTGGTTGTCAGCTGGAACCTAGAATGGGGTTTCTTCCAATTGGTACAGTGGGATTTCCCCCCCTCTCACCATGTCACGATAAATGTAGATCGTATGGTATGGATGGTCACAGCTTCCCTTCATAAGGTTGTGGTCATAAGCATTGTTCGAACTAGACGGCCATGATAGGTGTTTGCCCGACATAGGATACTTTTGACACCATAATTGAGTTAAAAGTTCTGCACACGATGTAAGAAACATCTCTGTCAGAATGTTGTCCCATAGTGTTCTTTTGCTTAGATTTTGCATGGGGTGCATGACAAGTCAATGCCCCTACATGGAAATTGCAGTGTGAAGTTAATGACCCTGCTGGGCAGTGCTTCCCTCTAGTGGTTGCTGCTGATATATCCACATCTTTGTTAGTACCATCTTCAGCTTCCCACCAGCTTTTGCTGTACTGGTCCACGATCTTATGGTAAATAAGATCTGCCAGAACAAATTGATTTGTGGTCCTTGCTGCTGTTGCATGTCTAATACTACACCTGTCATTTGGAGTTATCTATCATGATGCCTGAAAACCGGATTTTGTTTCTACGAAGAGACTCTCTTGTTGCAGTCAGGTCCACAGTTACTTTGCAGTTTGTACCACTGCCTTGTTGAGCGTATCTTATCGCCATTTCTAAATCAAAAATCTGTTGGTCCTGCTATACATGTTCTTAGTACATCCGCACAGTCTTGTCTATTACTCTTGGGGCTCAAAGTTTGTTGGGTGCAATCTGCACTACAAGTTCTCTTCGGTGACCTATATTTCATCATCGGTATTTACATTAAGTCGCCTATTTGAGCTCCAATCTTACCGGTCTCATTATTTGTCCCCGCGAGCTCCCATATTGTTTTCTTTTTCAGTTGAAAGTTTGTGTTATCCCACTTGGTTGATTCCTGATTACTGTGTGGATTCCCACTTATTTCAGCTCATGGTCTTAGATCAGTGTCTCTGAACCTTTGTAGTCTGCCATTTCACTTTGTGTTAGCATTATGGTGTCCATGTGTCAAGTTGCTATCTGTCCTCTTCATGTGTCCAACTGCATATCTATGGGCATCTGTATTTGCTCATTCAGTAGGCCTCCGCTGGGTCTTGTTGTGGTCCGTACTACAGCTTTTGTGTCGCTAATAACGCTACAAGTTACCTCAGGTCAGCAAGTTTATCTACGTAAGCTGGAGGGGAAAGGAATGTTAAGTGTATAGATCATCATCATTGTGCCCGACAGAGACAGCTTGTGCCCATGCCCATGCTCTGCCTCTCGTGCTCCCCAAAGCCCATCTCATTTAGTCGCTGCCGGGCACACCGGTCAGGAAGCTGCAGCAGAGGCCAGCCAAGCTAGATAGTAGATGTTGGTGTTAGATCGTAGCAGTAGCTGGATCTTCTTTGCGATCGCGAGGAATGACTTGCGTTGCAAACAAACCCTTGGTTTCTCTCTAGCATGCTTCATAGGAACCTAGCTTACATAATGGAAACAAGAAAGGACAAGTACTCATAAAAGGAAGAAGCCTGTGATCTTGAGATACCACTCTCTACTACTCCCTCTGTAAAGAAGTATAAAAGCATTTAGATCACTACTTCAGTGATCTAAATCGTTTGTATATTTCTTTACGGAGAGAGTAGTATACTACGTGTTTATGCTTGGCAATTTCAGCCGTCTGCTCATGAAAGCATCCCCCAAAAGGATCCAGCTCCTTTGCCCTTTCTTTCACCGGATGTGACAGCATCTCTTTGCAGCTGCAACTGAAAATTTGCAGGATCCAACAAAGCTGAACTCACACTGTCCATCCATCTATCCATCCATCCTCTCCATGTTGGACTTCTCTGATATCTCTCTAGGACCTATGTACTTCCCGCTGGACTAGAAATCGATAGATGGCGGTAGGGTAGGGACATGGATCCTCTACGTAGCAATCCCTGATATACCCTGCCTTTGAGTCATTGACAGGCGGGCCCCATGCTTCGTGGGACCCATCTGTCAGTGACTCAAAGGTAAAATAGCCCACATCAGAGGATCCTCATCCGGTAGGGTATACCAGCCTACAACCAAAGCCCTTAGCGGTAGGGGTGCACGACCTAGCCCCAACCCAACTTTATTGATCAGACACAGCCCCAGCTTTGCAGCGGCCGAAAGTCCTATCACCTGGTTGCATTGCGTTGCCATCACACGCAGGGCCATCTAGCATTTTCTTTTGCGGGGAAAAAGCTTTTCATTGATCAACCATGATGATTACTACATTCAGAATCACACCATTAGGGGGGTTTCAGAGCCAACACGCCGCGCGCTGCTGCGATCGACCCATGCAAGCAAGCAAGCAAACCACCTAGCATTTCAAACCATGGAGCAAAGCAGATGGCAAAGTTCTTCCATGTATACATAGATGATATATCTATTCCTTGTGACACCAGCACTATACTACTACTTATACTACTATAACAGCATGCATCATCGGTCAGAGTCTCCCTCGGCTATGATTAACGAGCCACAGTGATCATCAGTGGCACCTACTACTCCTTGGCTAATTAAGCTCCCCTACAACACTTCTACATACCCCCCTATGTACTCACATCAGATGTTGCCTAGCTAGCTTACTCCTTGAAGGGGCTTTTAACCTTGCTATGGATAACACCACATACTTGTAGCAGTAGCATTATGTATATGCACATGTAACTTGAGCCTTTGGCTGGCTTGGCTGCTGCGGGGAGTTGATCAAGGACGATGGTCCGAGTAACGGGTAGCTAGTCTTTGGCGGTGACCCTGATGGGCATGCCTCCCTTGAGGCGCACGGTGGGGAAGTTGACGATGTGGTCCTCCTCGGCCACCCACCTGCATCCATTCCAATCCAACGTCATTGTCATTGTCAGGCAACAAACGATAGTACATCATACATATATGTCGTGGATCTCGCCGTCAGCCACACGATCTTGATGCGCATGCATCTCAGCATTAATCTGCTTGTTTTATTTTTATTTAGTAGTGTGCGGTGCAGTGCCCACTTGCATATACTCATACTACTACTATGCAATAGGTTATAGGAGTGTAAAAAATATGTGCAAATCTTGATGGGCACAAACATATGCTACCAACAGGCTCATATTCTACTACGTACTGGCCAAGGTGAAAAACGTAAAGGGCGATTGTTTTTTGTGGTACGTACTGCAAATGCAAAGAAACAAAAACAGCCATGCTGCCATGCAGCGGCGCCATGCCCTGGCGCGCCGGTCAAAGTGAGAGGCGCATGCGCGCGCATATTTTATTGGGTTTCTTTCATGCAGCAGCAGCTCAATCACGATCCGGACCGGAGCAGAAACGAAGCATGTCATCCGTCTGATCCAGCCGGTCGAGCACTCCCGTTTGACCACCAGAGGAGTCAACCGCCACATTACATGCATGTCGCCAAACTTTTCCACCACGTAGTGCAGTATGTACGTAGGAGTATTCCACAGGCCGATAGACCGATGACGTACGTGCCCATATACCAGTATAGTGCACTTGGACTTTGGATCATGCGGCCGCCCCACTGGAGCAGCACTATAGCGCGTACCTAGTCACCTACTGCACTACGCCGTGCGGGCACTGTGCGGCAGCGGCCGCCGACGACTGGCACGTGCGGATGCCGGCGCCGCAGCGGCAGGCACAAGGGTGGGTGCGGGTGTCCCCCTCGCACGTGCTGGTGGGGGGTGCGGCGCATGTCGTGTCGACGCCGCACGCGTACATAGCTGTGAACACGCACTGGGTATGGATGATGCTTGTGTACACACGTGCGGCCGGCGTGCCCTTGTGCTCGGTCTTCGGTCTCGATCCCACACGGACGGACGTACGCACGCGTGCGGCCGCTACGAGTAGGAGCCATATAGCCTTCCTCCTAGCCCTCCTATGGCATGGTAGGAGTCCGCGCTACTTGTTGGTGGCCGGCCGCGTCGCACGTGTGGCCCCACGCACCAACGGAACGGACCCCCCCCCCGTCCCTCGACGCAAAGCCCAACCTCTATATAGGCAGGGTCCGTCGGTGTAGGGTAGTGTGGTAGTGTAGGGGTCCCTTCCCTTGGCCTTGGCCTTGGCCTGGGCCTGGACCTGGACCTCCCTAGCTAGCTTTCATCTGCCTGTACTGTCATAGATTGAAGAAGATCCGAACCTCCCTTCCCAAATTATTGGCGACCCCGGTCGACCGATATCACGTCAATGCACCCAGTGCAAACAGCAGTATTTCGGCGAAGAATGCGCGGCGTAATTTTACAGTCTTTGAGAGGGGGAAATGGTGCGTTATCTGACACTCAAGCGGAGACCAAAGGCTTGGCCGACTCTCTCTAATGTAAAAAACACTCTTATATCATGAGACGGAGGGAGTAAAATCTAATAAGTTGTGCGGGCGAATCAAGTCTTAAAATGTCTCTTCGTACTACGACCTCTGTTACTAGGACATTGTATATACATGCATTGTGCGTTAGAATGGCAAAGAAAACAAAGCTATTTGCTAGGCTCAAGTGATGTGATGGGGAGATGAGAGACATGTCTATATATCCGAGTGGTTCTCGATCATTTATGCATGCAATCAACGATGAAGGACCGGAGAGTAGCTGGCAGGCAGGCTAGGTGGTGTGATGCTTGCATGCACGGGTGAGAATGAGAGCGGGAGCGACGAGTGATCCATGAATACATACATACCTGAAGCTGGTGACCAAGTGGTGGAGAAAGATGGAAGCTTCCAGCCTGGCCAGATCCAGGCCCGGGCACAGCCTCTGCCCACCACCAAAAGGGGTGAAGCTGCTAGTGCTCATGTCCTTCTCCTGTTGATTGACACACTTTTTTTTCCAGACCGATAAACACATTATTAGGTTTCCCAAAATCAAATGGCAATCATATAAAGCTCCACAACTGGCATAGCACAGCACCCCACCATTTTCCATCATTTTTCCTTTTAGGTTATTCCTATCATGCATGATTTGCTCAGCGTTTCGTGTTCTTAAACCCACATGCCAGGAGTCCCACAAGACCCACTCATCGAACCCCCTACCATGTTGGTGTTGCCTAAAGGAGTAGCAACTGGATGAGCATCTCTACCAAATGTGGGGCTCGTCCTCACCTTCCACCTCCATGGATTGAACTTGCAGGGATCCTCGTAGAGCATGTCGTCGAGGTGGACCGACCGGAAGTACATGAACACACGCCATCCTTTGGGGATGAGATGCCCCTTCACTTCGACGTCGCGGACCGCCTTGCGCATGATCCCACTGATGATATTCCCAATCCGCAGCGTCTCCGTTATCACCTACATGTAAAATGTCTTATTTATAGAATGGAAACGAAGATATTATGTAAATCAAGGTGCTAATCTTGATAGTATTTCTTACATGCTGCGTGAATGACAAGGACATGTAGTCAGTCCATTGCAAGGTTTCACCCAGGTCGGTTTTTCTCATCTTGAGCTGCATGTTCTCCTCCTGGCACAGTCAAAATGTGTCACCAATCATTGTCGCATAAAATGATTAGTACTCCCTCAGTCCCATAATGTAAGGAGTTTTTTTGACAGTCTCGTAATGTAAGAAGTTTTTTTGACAATTATGGGACTGAGGGAGTACTACTGAAATAAAAGGTCCCAAATTTTTTTCTACCGCAGGAAAAATCGAGATAGCTATTACCTAGGCATGTTCCCTAACAGTACTTGGCCCGCAGAGGCTTGAATGAGTTCATTGTTCACATGGCATCAAGACAGAAACAGAGTCCACACACGAGTAATTTCTACACACTGTAGCGCTGTAAATGGAAACTAGTGAATGGCATGATGCTGCTGCTTGCGCAATAGGATGTACTACATGCTAGCTAGGGAATGTTCACGGCCCTTCTGTTTCACCAACTGATGAAACTGCATCTCAGAAACATACATGTACTACTCCAGAAACAACAATAGTGATTGGTTTGATTTACCATTTTGTTCTGTTCAACTTAGTTTTTCATAGGGTGGAAATTAGTTAACAGTGGTACATGAGTAGATATTTTGGTTGCACTAGCTGGACAAATTAGCACTTGCCATCATGCCATCAGGTGTCAAAAGCTATGTGACAAGGATTAGGTGCCATGACAGTGTCCAAAATAAAGTAAAGCGACGGCATAGTAGAGTAAGTAACAACATGACTGATGAATCGACCGAGTTAGATGCCACATCTCATGATGCTAAGCACTTGAGTGTGAAGGTGGTGGCCAATTTCGATGGGATGTGTGTGTACCTGACATTATCCATTAACAATGTGAGTGTGTGTGCATGTCTTGTTGCAGAGTTGGGCTACAGTTTTTTAGGCACATAGGTAGTGTAAACAACAATAGTTAATCCTCACGTCACGTAGATGCCAACAAGAAAGGCATGGACCAAGGTTGGCACGATCCTTTATGTGATGACAACGATCTAAAAAATTCTTCTGTACTACCTCCAGTTTTGCTCAAGACACAGATGAACTGAACTGTGTGACACCCGCAAAAAAAAAGAATTGAATTATGTGAGAAGTAAAAGACGAGTTCATGTCTGGCTTGAATTGGCAGGTTTGCGATGTTCATGCACATTCAGCAAAAAAAAAAAGATAACTGTTGATTCTAATTTGTTCAGATTAATCAGTTGGGCTCTGGCTCCAGCTGACCAGAATGCTGACAGAAACTAAGTAGTATCAGTGAGATGGAGTTTTAGAAGGTACCTCAAGCTGTTGCAAGGCGAGGGGGCACTCGCTGAGGAACTTGACGGCGAGCGTGATGAGCACCGGCACGGAGTCCTCGGCGGGGATCATGAAGTCGATCATGTTGTCGGATATGAGCTCGTCGGTGAGCTCCTCACTGCCGTCGCCCATGAGCACGTCGATGGCGTCTCTCGGCGCGCCGCCGCCGTCCAGGGCCCTCCTCCTCCTCTTCTCCTGTATGATCCTCTGTACGACCCTCGCCATCCTCTTCTTGGCCTGCACGCACGGGCGCACCCAGAGAGAAAGAGAAGTGAGCAGAAGGAACAACGATGGTGGCGTTGTGACATTGATGCCTTTCGTCTCGCTGCCATATTGGCAGGTGCATGGGACTATGGGAGAGACAGTTGCAGCGTGTGGGTGTGCATGCATGGATGGATGGGTGGAGAGCGAGTGAAATGAAAGAGGGTAGTAGTACGTACCTGGAGGGATCTGTAGAGCCTAGTCCCTGGCAGCTTAATGGGAAGGGACATGAGTCCGACAATAAATTCCTGGAATTGCTGCTTGAGCTGCTGCATCTCTGGGCCTGCCTCCAGCCCGATCAGAGCCCGCACCAGGATCTGGAACACAATCTGCAACACGCACACACCACATTCATCATTCATTCATTCATGTCCCTCCAGTAGTACTACTCTTAAATCATTTTCATGTAATATTGCAAGGCGCCTCTTCATCTAGATTTTGCTTGAAATGCAGTGAATTCGCCGCAAAATTTCCACATGTAGCTCAAATTCACTGCATGCAAGTTGCGACCTTTCCTTCCCCCTCGCAAGGTGACTAGGAAAAGTCTTTCTCCCCTCGAGCTTACGTCTGTCGCTCAGGTGGCCGGTGACGGGCAGGGTAAATCCTGATGCCTCGACTCCGGCCAGTAGATAAGTTAGGGTTTTAGGATGTTTGTACTCCCTCTCTATATTGATTTAAACGATCTTATATTTATTTAAAGAGGAAGTACTTATCATGAACCTCTATAATAGGTGTGTGTCTTTAAAAAAAATCACCAAACGGTATACTAATAAGTACTCCTCCTTCACACCAGTACGTATCACTGTGACTGTAACAGTACATCCCTTGCGAGGAGAGATGATTTCTTTTGCTCGCTGGTGGTAATAATCAAATCCTGCGTGTGGGCCCCACCGAGGGTAGGGAGGGGGCGGAATTGAATGGGGGAGGAGAAACACAGGGTAGGCACCAGCAGCTCCCCACAGTCTCATTAAGATGCCGCACCCGCACAGTCACAGTCTCCCAACCCCCCTCCCCTTCACTCTCTCTCTATCTCTAGCACACGCACGTCACAGGCATGGCGAGGAGAGAGAGACCCCACCCCCTTTCGGGGTTGGGCTTCCCCTTCCTTCCATGTGGTGACACGGCGCCGCACGTGTGCACGCCGGTGTGCGCGCCATACGACCGCTACTTGTAGTAATCCAATTCAATCCATCCCGATTCTTTCTTTCTCTCTGACGCACGTACGCACACGTCGTCGTACCTAGAGGCTAGACTCGTCGTCGTAGTGCTAGAAATCGAGCTATCGATCGATCGAGAGGGAGACGGTGGTTGTACGATGAGATGACAAAATGGATGGATGGAGGGAGATGGTATGTAGGCAGGGGACGTACCGTCTTGGCGTGGTCCTGGATGCGGAGGCGCGCGCCGGGGCCCTGCTCGCGCCAGGCGGCGAGCGCCGGGGCGAGGCGGCGCTGCATGTCGGCGGTGACCTGCGCCTTGAGCTGCGGCGACTTGAAGAAGGCGCCGACGAGGCCGTGGACGCGGCGCTGCAGGCTGCCGTTGATGACGAGGATGGAGGACTTGCCCATGAGCTCCGTCAGCGACCGCGGGTACCACGGTACGAACGACCGCGCGTCGCTCTGCAGCACGAACCGGTTCACCTCCGCGTCCGCCGTCACTACCGTCGCCGACCCGAACAGGTGCGACCGGAACACCGCGCTGCCGTACCTGCATGCACGCGCCGCGCCCGTGTCAGTACAGTACCACGCACGCACGTGCATGCGCGCGCGCTGGCATGGCATGGCATGGCATCGATGGACGGATGATGCCACGCGCACGCGTGCCGCCACTGTGCTGCGCCAGGGAAAAGAGACGAGTCTGACGGCTTAATTTTACTCACCGGAGGCGGCGCTTGTCAACGAACGCCTCGGGGCGTGGGGAGTAGGCGCAGGAGACGAAGTCCAGCGTCTCGCCGACGACCGGCCACCCGAAGCTGCCGGGAGGGAGCTGCGCCCCCGTCTTCATCGCCCGCCTTCTCGGCCTCGCCACGGCCGGGAACAGCCTGAAGCACAGCAGCCACGCGGCGGCCAGGAGGGCCCCGGCGGCCGCGCACGTCGACGGCGCCGGCCAAGAAACGGACATCGCCGGAGGCAATTGCTGTCACACCGTGTCTGCGAGCGTGTGTGTGCAATATCCTTGCACCGACCGACCCGGCCGGCCTTCTGATGGCGCGGTGCGGTGTAGTGGAGGTGGAGGCACGCGACTACGAGAGGACGAGAGGTTCAGAGGAGAGGAGCACTTATATGTAGGCGAGTGGGGAGGAACAGAATTGGCAGCAGCCAAGCGCAAAAGGTACGGGCGAAGGCGAGCAGGAGAGAGATTTTCTGAATATAAGCAATTGGGAGGATTGAGATTTCGTATAGTAGTATATGTTTTTTGCTTAGTCTCCACATCTATCATTGTGTATCGTGGCACAGTGTTGGTACTACGGACGGAGTACTGGCTACATATATCTTCCTTCGCTATTTTTGTGTGTTTCTTTTTCTCTGTCCGCTGTCCGTGTCCGGGAGATTGTGAGTCCCGAGCAGAACCGATGCGGGTGATGGGTGATGCCAGATGCTCACCCCTCGTGTGTGCACATGTGCGGCCCAACAAGGATATCTCTACTACAGTAGTAAACCTCTATTTTTTTCCGTAAAGGACATTTCATGTAATAGATATATCGAGGTGATACAATCATATCAAAAGAAAGCACGGCCTCTGCATAGCTAGATGCACACAGCCAAAAAGTCCAGAGCACCCTAAAAATAAAATAATTTGATACAATGCCAAGCAATAAATCGTGTCCAGCCTAAGGAGCGGTAGATCCTATCCGTAAATCACACCGCCATCCATGGGGTTAGAAACCCTCCCTGGCTGTACGCTCCAGCCATGTAGACATCATCATAAAAATGTCCCTGTCTTTCGGCTTCTGCAGGATAGACCAAGTACGGAGCCATCGTGTACAAACATGAATAACCTGCATAGAAGATGAGACACATTTATTGTTAAAAACCACATCATTCCTGGTAAGCCACATTGCCCAGCATAAGGCCGTCGCTCCCACAAGAATATGTGCAGAAAATTGTTTATCTATACCCCGCAACCAGTTGCCGAACATATTCTGTGCACTACGTGGTGGGTATAAATTCGAAGCTACTTGGACCATAGTCCAAACTGCCCGAGCGAACTTGCACTCAAAAAATAAGTGTTTGATAGACTCGTCATGTTGGCAAAAGATACATGTCTTGGAACCATGCCAGTTTCGTCTTGCCAGATTATCTCTAGTTAGGATGACTCATTTGTTAAGAAACCAGAGGAAAATCTTCACTCTTAGGGGAATTTTTAGCTTCCACAATTTCCTGTTATCTACAGGAACATCACAATGAACCATTGCATCATACATGGATTTGACCGAGAATTTGCCATTCTGAAGCAAGTTCCGTCGAAAAGTGTCCGGCTCATCTGACAGTTGAATGTCCTCCAAGCGAGTGAGTAATTCATTCCATGCTGTCAGACGAGTGCCCAAAAGATCCCTACGGAAAGAAATATCGGGGTTTTCCTGTCCTAATACTTGTTTGATCGTGACAAATTTATGTCTGACGATCCGGTACAAGCTCGGATATTGCACCATTAGTGGAGTGTTCCCTAGCCAGGTATCTTCCCAGAAACGAACTTGAGCACCGTCCCTAACCAAGAAGATCCCAAATTGGAAGAAGAGTTCCTTGGCCTTCATGACACCACTCCAAAAATGTGAATCCCCAGGTTTCCAATGAATTTGAGAAATGGCATTGGATCCCACATATTTGTTGTGAATGATTTCCTGCCATACTCCATTCTCAGTGAGTAGTTTATAGACCCACTTGCTGAGAAGAGCGATATTTTTAATCTCAAGGTCTTGGATTCCCAGTCCCCCTTGGCTTTTAGGTCTGCATAATACGCTCCACCTAGCCAGTCTATATTTCTTGGTTTCGTTATCACACTGCCAAAAAAATCTGGATCTAAAGTAATCTAGCCGCTGTAGAACCCCTTTCGGTAGGTGGAAGAATGACAACATGTATAAAACCATATTGCTTAGGACAGAATTGATCAAGATCAATCGCCCCCCATAAGACAAGAGTTTGGCCTTCCAACTGGCTAAACGTTTCTCAAGTCTCTCTTCCACATGCTTCCACTCAGCGATAGTTAAATGCCGATAGTGTATGGGGATACCCAGATACCTAATCGGAAACTGCCCGAGCTGGCATCCAAAAATGTCGGCATACTCGGGTGCAGATTCTGCAGCATCTCCAAAGCAAAAAATTTCACTCTTATGAAAATTAATTTTGAGACCAGAAAGTTCCTCAAAGGCACATAAGAGCAGCTTGAGATTTCTTGCTTTATCTAGATCATGATCCATAAATAGAATTGTGTCATCTGTATATTGTAGAATGGATAGACCATCTTCTACCAGGTGTGGAATGACCCCGCTAATTTGACTATCCAGCTTGGCCCGCTCCACAAGGGTAGCTAGCATGTCGTCCACAATGTTAAACAAAATAGGAGATGCGGGGTCGCCTTGACGAAGCCCCTTCCTTGTCTGAAAATAGTTGCCAACGACTTCATTAAGTTTTATGGCCACACTACCGCCAGAGACAAAGCTCTCTACCCAGCGGCACCACTTTTGTGAAAACCCTTTCATGCGTAAGGTTTGCAACAGGAAGGGCCATTTAACTTTGTCGTAGGCTTTCTCAAAATCAATTTTAAGAATGACACCGTTCATTTTTTTCCGGTGTAAACCTCTACTATTAATTAGTATACTAATTAGTAAATACTAATCTAAAAAAGATCTCTACTACTCCCTCCGTCCGAAAATACTTGTCCTACAAAGGAATAAAATTGATGTATCTATAACTAAAATAAGTCTAGATACAACCATTTCTAGGACAAGTATTTTCGGACGGAGGGAGTATTAATTATTAATCAATAACTATTAATCTAAAAAGATCTCCACTAATTATTGATTATCCCTTTAATATAAGGCGGCTGCTACAAATCACCCGACTGATTTCCTGGGGAAATCAGTCAGGTCGTGAGCCGTTGGATCAATCGCCTCAGAGTCGTTGGATCAGTCAACGCGTTGCCGGGTCCTTCTCCTTCTCATCGAAGCCGCAACAAAGCAATGACCTGCGTCGCTGTGGGGAAGCAGCATCGCATGCTTCGCAGCAGGAGCCCTCCCTTCCCCCTCGCAGGTAGTGCAGATGCTCCACCGACGGGCTTCAGTGATGCTACACTTCAGCGGCAACTCTGGCGCGGCGGCGCTCCATGGCAGCACCCCGCCGCTGACTAGCACGCTCCATTGCTGCACCGATCTCTCCATCGCAGCTTTGGGGCGCCGGCGAACGCTGCATCACGGCACCGGTAGCCACCAGTGAAGCTTCATTGCAGCCACCAGCCGCCGGTGAAGCTCCATTGTAGCACCGCCCGCTCCAACATAGCATCATCAGCCGCCGATGGAGCTTCATTGGAGCACCGTGTGCTGCATCACTGCTCCGGGCCGCCGGCGAGCGCTGCATCGCAGCACCGGGAGTCGCCGGCAAGCGCTCCACTGCCGCACCACCGCATGACTCCTCCACCAATTTCAGCACAGCCGCGCGACCCCCCATTGCAGCGACGGTGATCCCCCTGCACCAGCGTCCGCGCCAGCTTCCAGCGGGCGTCGTCTCCTAGCTAGCCACTGCAGCGCATGGCTTTCGCTTTGATTTTCATCGGAGAAAAAAGAGATGGGCAAGGGGCAGGAAGAGGCATCGGCTGAACACACCGTGGCTGAGCTCTGGGTGTCAATGATTCAGCCGATTCATTTGTGTGGCTGAGCTCTCACATGGGGATAAGGATGATGGCGGAGAAGCGGTGTGCGGGCCGGACCGGGACGCGTGTCGCGCGTCGAAGGAGGCTTACACCGCGCTGGAATCAGCCGGCTGTTTTTTAACATTTTCCTTAATATAAAGGTATTAAAGGGGAATCGGTTCCGCCTCCTCCCCTCCTTCTCGGGTTTTTTTTCTCCCCACGCACCCCTTCCTTGTCAGTTTCTCTATTGATATTTTGTAGAAAATTAAAACCAACATAAACAGAGTAACTTGAAATAATCTAAATCAAATCGGTACTTCCCAAAAATCACATCCTACATTAAGCACATCAAATCAAGTCTTCTCAAAATCACAGCTAAATAAAAACTTTCTTCCTTCACTTATGAATAAGAAAATCAAATCAAATCTTATCAAAACCTTAACGAAATAAATAAAAAAATCCTTGCATTCTCCTACCCATATTCAAATCAAATTGAATCTTATCAAAATCCAGAATACAGTGGGTGTAAGGAATAATATAATTAGTGTTGAACCATTAGAATATGTATGCACCCCTTGCAACGCACGAACAATTAACTAGTTGTTGGGCAAAAGGGGAGCACTGGTGTGGGCAAGGTCGTGTCGTATTCTTCCACATGAACACTTCTTCCTTCCATGCTCGATCAAACAACAACGCTGCCTTTGAGGCCCACCGCGTAGAGTTATTGTGCCCTAATAAGGGCATCTCGAATGCCTTGCCTTAGAACACCCACAAACGTTTGGAGCGATTGTCTGGACGTTTTTTTGCCACCAAACACAGAGCCGCAAACGTCCCCGGAAGCGTCAGTGTGTCCGAATGCTTACAAACCGGATGCAAAGCTGGTAGAGGTTTGTGGGAGTCCGGACCTCCACCACGTAGAAATCTAACAACCTTGGCCCACTCGAAGCACATATCATTGTCCCTCTGTCCCTCCCCCTTGCTATGTGTCGGCTCCCTCCCAGCCACTCCACCCCGACCGGACGCCCAAGCCTTATCGTACCTCCGTCGCTCCATCGGTGCACCAAGCCCGATTTACAGACACCGTTGTTCCCCCTTGTCCGTCCGCTGCCCAGGTATCCTCTGCCCCTGCAGTTGCTATCCATGACATACAACATGCCCGACAAGTGTTTGTGAAAAGTCCATAGCAAAGTTGTTGACATCTTTCCTTACTTTGAAGGAAACACATTGGATTCGGACGATGAATACTTCTATAGCAACTTCATGGAGTCGTCCTTGTT